CAAGGTGGTGCATGAAGACGAGGATCTCGAATCTAGCGTACTCTAGCCCGGGGCACATTCTCGGGCCCCCGCCAAAAGGAACAAAAGTGTAGGGTGCTGGCCCTGCTCCCTGAAACCTCGATGGATCGAACTTCTCCGGTTCAGGAAAGATTTCCGGATTTTTGTGTGTTGCGGTGGCGCTCCAGTATAGCTTGAAACCCTTTGGAATAGAGTAACCCTTGTACGAAAAATCAACAATGGCTTCTCTGAAAGTTCCAGGGACAGGTGTCGCAAGTCTCATGACTTCACAAGCAACGTTCCACGAGTATTTCATCTTCTGTAGGTCTTCCCAGTTGAGCGAATCGCCTGGAGCTTTTGATTTCAAAATCTCCATTTGTTCGTTGTAGACTCCGTCGTAAATATGAGGAAGCTCGGCTAGATACTTGACGATAAAAGTGCAAGCAACGCTGGCACTATCGCGGCCTCCAATCAGCAAGCCCAAGATCTTATCCGCAATATCAAACTCTTGCATGAATTTGCCGTTTTCATCGCTGGTGAGAAGCATGTGCGATAGAATATCTTGAGTAGGCGAAGCTTTCCCTTCGGCCAAATCGATTTTGCGTTGTTTGATGATGGAGAGAAGCTCTTGTCTGACAATCTTGGAGGCCTTAATACCCTTATTGAAGGGTGTTCCGGGGAAGTCAATGGGGATTGCAAACAAACTCGACGCCAACAGATTGAAAGGCTTCGATAATCTATCGACTTGCTGAGGATTTTCGACACTCGCGAAAAGCCTGCATGCTAATTGGAAGGTGTAGTCTTTTGCGAGAGGCAAGACGACGACTTCTGTCTTGTTCTCCCATCCCTCTTCAAAGTGTTTTTGGGCCATAAGGTCCATTTTACCGATGTAGCGACGAAGGGCTTCGGTTTTCAAGAAAGTGTGGAGCATTCTCCTCAACTTGATGCCCTCTTCTTCGGAAGAAGATCGAGTGGAAGATGGGAATATTTTGTCGATGCCACTAGGGAACCATGCCCTGACAAGCTTGTTCTCGTTCGAGAACAAGAATTTGTTGCCTCTCGCACCGCTCAAAACGGCGGCCTTCTCGCCCACAAGGTGAGTTCTGAAAACACTGGATGAGTACTTAGCCACACGGTCCAATACGAACTTCTCCGGGTGGCCCTTCCACCCCGCCCACAGGAAATGTAGGCTCTCCCCAACCAGGGGCCACCCCGTGTTTCCCGGAGGCAGGGGACCGCCGGCGGCGGCGGCGGCAGATTTGTTCTTGTTGAAGAACAGGTGGTGGTGGAGGCCGAAAAGGAATGCGAATAATATCGAAATCGAGAGAGAGATGACAGAGACTAACAAAATCATCGTTGCTGATTCCATAATATTTATGTAGATACTTCAATTAGTGTGTTTCACTGTGTGTATGTTTTATCGACTTAATGTTTTGGTTATGATTGATTGAAATTGGACTTACATATATATAGTACTAAAGACTCAGACATCATCAGACAATTATATAATCTATAATGGCTGCCGTTAATAATTTAAATAATGATTTAATTATATTATAACTAGTTTTAATATTTAAAGTTTGTATAAATATGGTCAAAAAGAAGGTGCTGCATGTGGTATGGAACAGTACTTTATCGTCTAGTGGAAAATGCACAATCAAGGAAGGAGCTGAGAATTAGAAACTCACAGACGCAAGCTGAAATATTTTTTTCATTATTAATTATCTATACAATATGTAGTTATGCATAATGCAGTGTTTGTCAATTATTTAATTTTGACCCAAAACTTTTTTTGCCGTAGGATTTAGGTATTGACTTTTCAATTTTTTTTCTCTCCCGGATTTCTTCGCCGGTTTCCGGTGTTGACTTTTTTTTCCCCTTTCTGTAACATATTTTTTCATTTAAACAATAATATTGCTGTGATTGACAGTAATATTAATGTTAAACACAGTAAAATTAACTTAAACTACAGTTTAACACAACAATATTGCTATATTAATCTCTAGTACAGTAATATTAACGCAACAAAACTCATTATTATTGTGTAATAGAGTAATATTACTATGTTGACCTTTCAACAAATGTAAACATAATAAAAAGTCACAAGAATTAATATTACTGTGAGTGTCAATAATATTACTATAACAACAGTAATATTACCGTCAACCACAGTAATATTACAATAATAGACACTAATATTATTACGTTACTCAACACCGGAAACCGGCGGCAAAAAAACAATTTTTGAAAAAAAGAAAGTTTTTGAAAAAAAAAAGTCAAAATTGGATTTGTGATCAAAATTAATTAAATTGGGTTTACAATTAATAATTGGGTGTATAGGGTTGGGGGTAATTTTGTCATATACATGAATTTTTCATTTATTATAATAGGAAAAAATATTGTTTGCACCCCGGAACTATGGAGTGTGTCATAAACACACCCTTAAACTATGAAACGTAACAAAACGCCTCATCCGTTTGTGTTTGCTGATGCGGTATGTTGGCTTTTAATTTTTTAATTACTTTTATTGTTGTTAAATTTGTTTTGACTCTTTTACCCCTCGGTATCATGTACTATATGTATATAGTATACATATAGTAGGTACATATATATCCATACGTGTATATATATACTTGTTTGATTTATATTTTAATTTAAATTGATAAAATTAAATAAAATCATTAACAATAAAAGATGTACTGAACTCATTTTTTTGTGCAGATACAAACAATAATTCATACACTAAAAATTCAGAAAATTCTTGGGCTAATCTCGTTAGCATAAACAAAAATTCTCAATGCCTAGAAAAAAGGTTTTGCAGAAAGAGAGAGAAGATTCACAATTCTTAGGCAATGGTGAATGAGAAGAGAGAGAAGACGGTCGTCCGATCCCACCCTCGCCGTGTGTGCAGTCGGAGAATCAGGATCTGAGTTGGACATTCGGCACGTGTGACGCGGTTTTTGCTGTTGGGGGTGTTAGAAATTTTATCGTACATACATACAATTCTCAAGAACCAACATGCTTGAATCAACGAGAATTAAACATAAACATAAACACGGAAGCGTACCTTACATCATGGAATCGAATCTTCGAAGCAGTTCCTTAATTATCTCTCTAACGATGGATTTTAGAAGAGACGGAATGGTTGCGTTTCTTTGGGGACCACGACCCTTTATATAACTGTAGAGTCCAGTTATATTATAATTGTGATTCAGCCCCATCAATAAATCACAACTAAGCCCTAATTGTCTCTACACATTAGGCCCATAATTATAGTTTAATACCCATAATTCCAACCCAATAACATTTATTAGATCACAATTAATTTTAGACTTTCTTTAAGATAGCCATACACATTTCGTCACATATGTGAGCCCACATAATTATTGAAATAATTCCAACAGGGGGCACATACTTTCCCCTTTATAATAAATATTAAAGAGATGGTGTTATTGGTGAAAGACATATAGCCCCTAAACTTAAAATAATGAAGATGGTTTATTAGAGACTAATGCACAAAAACCTCTTTAGATATTTATCTAACAAAGTTCAAAGTTCTTATTATGTTAACCTAACTAACTAACCTGTCCGACATCTACGTAAATAACTACTCACTAGCATAAAATTCAACACGTGCGGAAATAGTATATATAGTTCGATAGGCCGCAAAACAATAAATGCAATTTTTTAGTTTATTTTATTTTTATTGACATGTAGTTGCCTTGCCTTACAGGTCTAGTATAGGACAATTCCAATTTATGTTTTGTTTGTTAATTAGTTCTTAATGAGGTCTTAATGGCTCGTCATATGAATAAATTATAAAATGTACCCTATGTAATTTTGAAATTATAGAAAACCCCCTGTAAAATTTGGTCTAATGCATATTCCCCCTTGAAGCCGGATCGTGTTGCTCACTCGCAATTATGGGGAATTTTCATGTAAAAAAATAATTATTTAGATATTATTTATAATTGAGTTACAGAGTAAAATAACCTATTAAATAATATGAAATGCTATTTACGGTTACAAAATTGCTATTTGCGGTTTTTCACAAATCCCACCAAAACTTTTCAAAAAAATCAAAAAAAAACCTCAAACTGCAAATAGCAAAAAAAAAAAAAAAAAAAAAATCGAAAATTCAAAATCAAGCTTGAAGAAGGGTTGGGCCTCGATTTTTTGATGTAATTTCGACTCTTTTATGTGTAATATGCATTGGGTAGGTCGATTACGGAACCAATTTCATGTTAAAAAACCCTACAAATCGATTTGTAGGGCTTTTTTTTTCGCAAAAAAATGTTCCGGGCGTTCGTACACGCCTTGAGCGCCCATCTTGGGCGTTCGAACATTTAAAAAAAATATATATATATATTTTTTTTTTGCACTGGACGCCCAACTCGGGCGCCCAAATGCAGCTTGCACGCCCAACTTGGGCATGCACTGCATGAATGGACGCCCAAGTTGGGCTTTTACGCGTTTTGGGAGGGTTTTTGGATTTTTTGGGGGGTTTTGTTATAAACCGCAAATAGCAATTCCCGTAATAATTTTGAGGACTAATATGTTATAGTTTCTTAAAGGGAAAATTACGGCCACCCGTGAGTTATGGTCAAATTACGAAAACCTCCTCCTGTTTGGCTAATTACATCCCAAACGAGAAGGTAAATATAATTGAGGATGTTAATTCTGTATTATCTTACAAAAAGACTCATCTTCAAAGTTTAATTTACAGTTAAAATTAAAGTCTAAAACAATTTGATCTAACCTCAGAACATGGTATACAATAGGGTTTGCTCAATATTTGGTTAATTATGGATAAAAATGGTGTTTCACGAGTTATACGTAATTTTCCAAACCAGACCTAACCCTAATTTCTTCTTCACTATTAAAGAGAGAGAGGCTATATCTATCAGTTTTCCTTGTATATAAAGCACCAAAAGAAATAGGAATCTTAATTAAATAATAAAATATTCAAAGCCAATTAACTGAAACCAACCAGATCGAAATAACCGCCCGCATGCAAGAAAGTGAAATGGAGCTTCTTATTCTATCATCATCCCTTCTCCTCCTCACTCTTTTCCTCTCTCTCTCTAACAATACTTCATTACAATAAAAGCACTCATTCCAGATCAAAATCACTTCCTCCAGGCCAAACAGGGTGGCCCTTCTTCGGGGAAACCCTGGAATTCGTGTCGGCGGGCCGGCAAGGAAACCCCAAGAAGTTTTTCGACGACAGAATGGCGAAACACTCGTCCGACATCTTCAAAACCTCACTGATGGGCGAAAAGACAGCCGTCCTTTGCGGGCCTTCCGGAAACAAGTTTCTATTCTCGAACGAGAACAAGCTCGTCCACACATGGTGGCCAAGAAACATCGAAAGGCTATTCCCTACGTCAGTTGTGCACAAGTCAACCAGGGAACAGTTCATCAACATGAGGAAGCTTCTGCCGGGATTCATCAAACCCGACTCGTTGCGGAACTACGTCGGGGTTATGGACTCCATCGCGAGGGAGCACCTGGAAACTCACTGGGAATGCGGTGGCCGGGAAAATATTGTGACCGTTTTGCCTCTGGTGAAGAAGTTCACTTTCGCGGTTGCATGCAGGTTGTTCCTGAGCATTGACGATCCCGTGCACATTGCGAGATTCGATAAGCCTTTCTGTGTACTTGCGGCCGGGGTTTTGTCGGTGCCTGTTGATTTTCCGGGGACTCGTTTCAATCGTGCTATTAAAGCTGCCGATTCGATAAGAAGGGAGATTTTGGAAATAATCAGGCGACGGAAATCCGTGCCAATGGCCGCCGTCGTTGACCGTCGCGATATTTTGGCCCACATGCTGACGACGCCGGACGAAAACGGGAATTTGATGTCGGAATTGGATGTCGCCGACAAGATTATAGGCTTGCTTATCGGTGGCCACGACACGGCGAGTGTCGCCATCACTTTCATCGTCAAATATCTCTCCGAGCTGCCTCATATTTACGATAAAGTCCTTGAAGGTGAGACTAACGGATGCTACACTGGGTAATTTTTAACAATTAATCTGGTTAACTAACCACTCACTAAATACACATAAGTGTGTGTGATTATATGCAGATCAATGGTTAATAATCACTCTATATATTTCACCGGGTGTAGAGTGAAATAAACCTGATACTGACAATTTAAATATAATTTAATTAAGTTATCCTTTTCTTTTTAAATTATTTACGCAATTAGGTAGTCAATTGGTCATGACTCCTACATCATACTCTATAATACAACTTGTCAAAAACATTGACTTGTATTTAACACATGCAATGTAATTAAATACTAGTAATAGAAATGTATCAATTCAAGGCAACTGGATATAATAATAAACAATAATTATTATTATTATTATTATTATTATTATTATTATTATTATTATTATTATTATTATTATTATTATTATTATTATTATTATTATTATTATTATTATTATACAAATAATAATAACAACAACAATATTAGTAATACTGATAGTTTATTGACTAATTAAGTTTGAAGAAGGCGTCGACGATATTCACCGAGAGCCCATATCGGGAAGATATTCCGATAGGACGAATAGTTGAGGGTGCAATTCTTCATAAAGACTCCTGTGATCTCCTTCTCTCCAAAATAATGATTAAAAATAAAAAATAAAATCCATTATTTATAGATTTATTATTTCTTTTGGAAATATTAAAAATACATCTAATTATGTATTACTACCTGCTGAGGAAAGTCACCATCTTCCATTTGTGAGTTTATCAGCAGTCTCATGCCACGGTGTATGGCCAACGGATCGATCTCGCCCTTATTTACATAAAATACGAAATTATTTCGGACTAGTTTTAAATAATAAATTAATTAAGTAAAGAATAATTCGCTCGAATAAATATAAATATTTCTGTGGTGGATGATTTACTCATACAACAAGAAAATTGACATGCCACTAACAAAATTCAAACTCCTTATTATGTTCACCTAATTAACGAACCTGTCCGGCATTAATGAGAGATAAGAGAGCCCACGAAGTCTGCACCAAATTTGATCTATTACCTTCGATATTAGTGTACACCTACGCCCAAAAAATCGATGTTTTTTAGTATCGTGGAATTTTATATTTTTTTTGATAAATCATTTCTAAAACAAGAACTAATAATATAAAATTTTCAGATTCTTAGGAGATCGATTAGTATTAACCTTGTTGGAGCTTGAAAGATAACTCTCACCCCATCCGCCATCACACAATTGTTTTGACAGCAAAAATTTACAAGCTTTTTGCAACGAAGGAGAATTATGATAATTTAAGCCGCATGCTACCAAGCCCTCCACTGCAAACCATGTTCCGTACGTATAACATATACCCCAAGAACCAGACCTATTTATATATATATACACACACACACACATTATGGAGTGCAAATATCTTCACGTTTCAAATATATAGTAACGTAAAATAAGGATTAGTTACGAATTATTTTTTAGGAATATATGTACCAGGAACCATCAGATTCTTGAATGTTCTCTATGTACTGTTTTGCCCTTGCAATGCATGTTTCTATTTCTTTTCGTCTATGCTCGGGATGAAACTTCTTGAAAATCTGTAGGCCTTGGATTGCCGATGAAGTGCATTCCACATAGCTAGTTTAAAGACAAACCAATATCGAGTATGAAAAAACATGAAGTAGAACAATTGATTACCAAGAAAATGAAATGAAAGTGTGGATAGTAACATTTGATGAACTTTGAAAACTATGGACATACTCTCGCTCAATGAGGGCATCTTCGAAGAGTTCCGTAGGATTCAACTTCTGAAAAAACATAACTAGAATCATTTTTTTTACGGGGTTTTTGTGAAAGGTTAAACATCAATCAAGTGTCGAAGTTTGAAGAATCATCTTTACCTCTATCCAACGATATGCTCGTTTGGGCTCCCATGCAGGAAATCCACCGCTATCACTCTGGGCCAAATGTTTCGGAAAAGTTATTACATTAGTTATTAAAAAATATTGCACTGGCTAAACGAGAACAATATCACGTTTCACTAAAAATTCACAATCTCTACCTGTAGGGACAAAATGACATTTACAGCATCGTATAAGCGCCCCGTTTCAATTTTTTCTCCAACAAGTTCTTGTGGCATTTGGGACAATAGAACTGCAGTCTGTAAACAACCTAATTCAAAATCGAATTTCACTACGTTTTCTTTTATCGCAAGAATGGGTAATTCATGTAGTAACTTACTTTCATTCCCTCAGCTGTGCAGTCAGAGACTTGCCAACCTTGATCTTGCATTGAAAATGTCCAAGCACCTTTAGATGTGTGGCGATACATTTTACGATAATCTCCAGATGGGTTTTCGCAAACCTTAATTAAGGTAATGTAAACTATTAGACTACATGCATATGGTAATAATGATACTGACTTTTTTTGTTCTATTTAATGTTGTGAGAGATAAATTGAACCTGTGAGGCTTTTACAAAGCTGTGTGCTTTCTTCAAGGTCGGCCCGTAGTCTTCGGAAAGATTTGCCGATAAAATTGCTTGAATGGCAAAAGCAGCATCCCACATTTGACTACCAAAACTCTATTTAAAATATAAAACAAAATACTTACTCATGAAATATGCAATATAGTTAGATTAATGTAGAAAATGAAGCGGAGGAAAGAGAAAAAATATACCTGCATTTTCAGGCCATCTTCAGCTACCCAAAAGTAATCCGGTATACGAGCAAGATGGCGTTTGTAAGCTTCAGAATTAGGATCTTCAATCCAACAAGCAAGTAGAGACAAAACCTAAGAAAAAACATGACAGCTATAAACCTTTTTCTAACATATTAATTTATAACATAACAGAGATCGTATATTACCTTCTCCAGACATCCAATGCATAGGTATCTGCTATTCTCGTCCTCATAATGAACATTTTCAATGGCAATTCCTAAAGCCTTTTCTCTCAATTTAGAAAACGGCCACCTTTTTAGCAACGGCTCCGCAAAATGATGAAGGAATCCCGATAACATATCTTGCATTAAAGGGTGGGGATAATAAAGGTCTTCCTGAGAAACGTAATAAAATTCAATGTACATTTTTCAGAGGTATAACATATTGCATTCCACATATTCATGAATTCAATGCAAGTATAATCATAACCAAAGTGTATCCAACCTTAGCACACGTGTTTCTTGCTTTGTTCCAATTTATTTCAGGATAAGGCTCGATATAAATCTCCCTTCTTAAGGACTGAATCAGTCCAGTGATAGGCCCAACAAACCTCTTCCCATACACATACGACATTGGCCTATATGCCGACCGACTATAGCATGACATCTTACCTACACGCACATATCAACAACAACCTCAAAAGGCTTATTCTTATGCTAAAACGTTAAAAAAAATCTTTTTCTTCAAGGTCATTAGAACCTGGATGAATGGGGGAGAAATACGGGAGCAACCATAATTCCGGGGGCGTTGGATTGCAGCCATCCCATTCGTAAACTCCCAACACCTTCAAACACGAGATTTAAAAAAAAATTGAAAAAACAATTGATATAATATATCATATTGCATTTTTCTACAACATCATTATAATAAAAAAAAATTATGATTTATTCTTACAGTGAGCAAAAATTTCCCCCATGAAGGTACGCCAACAGCACCACCATGATCGAGTATCCATTTTCGGCCTCTGTCGACTGCCATGTCATCACCATCTTCGAGGCTTTCACCCAATAACCTTAGTGTAATATAACTGAGAACAGAACCAAAAATTGTGCTGTGTCCTTCTATATGTATCCCCCAACCTCCATCTTCATTCTTTCCCCCAATACAAAAAATTAATCAACAACGAATATTCAGAACAAACCCTAATTGCTCAAATGAGTACTAATTAATATCAAAAAATATATTTGAGAAACTGAAAAATCAAGTGTAAAACTAGATTAAACCTGGTGATTGTATATGTATCGTATGATCTCCTTCCGATGCTCCGGTGACAGAACGGCATTTATTGCTCCGGTGATATACAACGCCAGCACCTGCAATTTTGCGCATTTATTTCAACCCAATCGATTTTTGCAATCATATAAAATAAAAATTGAAAAAGAGGCATACCAAAGGAGGGAGGAAAAACAAAGGGCCGGCCGATTCAGCCGGCCAGTGTCCATCGCCGGACTGAATCGTTGAGTAGAAACTAATTGCGCGCCGGAGAGTAGTTATGGTTGCCTCTTCTGTTATTTCCTCTGTTTCTTTCACTTTTACGGCTCTTGCAATTGGTCCACGTGGATTCTCCTTCGTAAGCTGCAGGATTTTTTTCATCAAATAAAGAAAATTACATTTGTGTCCCTAAGTTTAAAATAAAAATATTTTTAGTCCCTCATGTTCGAAAAAAAAAAAGAAAAAAAAAAAACTTTCGGATCGATTTATTACTTTATGACGTATTTGATCTCTTAATGTGTTGCTAGTCGGGGTGATTTTTTCTTTTTTTACCATGTTGGCCTACCACTCGATTGTCCTACCGAATCGTACCAATTACTTACGAAAATATTTGTATTGAGTGGTTACCATATCATATTGTGCTATACTAAAGTATTTGTTGACAAATTGAGTGGTTACCATATCATATTGTGCTATACTAAAGTATTTGTTATGTCAACGGTACTCAATAATTACCCAACATTAATTATCGATAAATTAATAAAACGAGAAAGAGAAGATGAAAATTCGCAAAGGGGTAACTTGGTCAAATAAGGACTTCTTCAGTTCTTCCTCGCAGATCAAAACTATTTAAATAATTTTCTTTTAATTAGTGCAAATTTACCTTAAACGACAGATAAAATGAAACGAATGGAGTATAATCGATCGAATACCTGCATGCGCATCAATAGGTCAGAACTTTGTTTGAACCGGAACCTGTTTTTCTTGAACTCAGTTCGCATTAATTCAACTTGGGCAAGTTCCTCCGCGGTACCGGCCTCCCCGTCAAATTCCCAATGCTGCCTCCCTACGTGATTGTTGGTGGTCGTCAGCCACGCTCCGCCGCGGGAGCCGCCACCTTCTGCAATCTTCAACTTCCACATTTTTATTTATTTCCTGCATCAACAATCATTTGTTATTTTTCTGAAGATTATATATATATATTGATGATGCTAAAATGTAGATCATCTGGGGTGGTGTAGAAAATGAACTGGGAGAGCAAAGCAGATCAGTAGCTTGACAACTTGATGATCCTGAGATACCTGCGAAATGAACACACGTGAACTACGCCGGGGGTTGATCCGGCGGAAACCCCTCCGACGCTCAAGTCAGACGTGCTGATCATAGAAATGGTCCAGAGAATACATATTGTAGTATTGCTCAGTTAATAGGACGTACCTTAAGGAATGAGTTCAAACCTTTATTTATAGCTTAGTTGAGATTGTCGGGCCCGAACCTTACTTGAAGGTGATTGGGCCTCGGTGATAATGGTCTTCGATATTGGGCTCGTGGCCCAGTAGGTAAATAAATTGTAGGCCCATTGGGTTGACCCAATTAGGCATATCATTAAGCCCCCCACTCTCGAGTCGATGTGGGGGCCATGTCGAAATGGGTTCTCAATCGTGTCGAGAGTGAAAATTGTAGTGTTCGTTCTTTGGCATATGGCCTGATGGTGTGCGAAAATGCATTGGAGCGTGTGTCGGAGGGGCGTGAGTGCGCGTTGGCGCGTAGCGCGACCAAGTTGTCGCTATGTAAGTTATTTGAGTCGTCGGTGTTGTCCCGCGACAATGTAGTAGCGAATTGTCTCCTCGTGGGAGTTGTCTCGTCGCGGGGTAATATAGTCGATCAAGTTATCTCCTCGTGTGAGTTGTTTCGCGATAATGTGATATCACGGATCAAGTAATCTCCTCGTGGGAGTTGTCTCGTCGTGGGGTAATAGAGTTGATCGAGTTATCTCCTCGTGGGAGTTGTCTCGTGAAAATGTAGTAGCACGGAGCTAGTATTCTCCTCGTGGGAGTTCTTATTTATCGACATTGTCAATGTTTTGACGCGTTGCTTGTATGTGTTTACATATAGCCTTGTGCGTGATGTACTTGAGGAGGGGATCAGGCTCTCAAGAGTTTTTTTATGGGGATCGTGCCCCTTGTTAGACCTCGTGGGTCGTAAGTATGTTTGGACCGTGGCCACGTTTTAATGAAGGACCCATCGAAAACAAGTAGATAAATTTTGAGTAATCAAGCTGGCCAGGCTATATAGATTCTCATAATATCTCTAAGTGTTTCTAGGGTTGTAATCGTGCTAATTTGAGCTTGCGATTATGTAGTGCATTGCGAGCGAGTTGTCTCTTCAAGAGAGTTGTCTTGCAGCGAAGTTGTAGGAGCATTGGATGACGCGCGATTGTGGAGCGTGCGGATTGAGGTTGCTCTGAGCGAGTTCTCTCCTCGTGGGAGTTGTTTCGCAGCGAGTCTTATTATCGAGCGAGGTGGTTGTACGTGGGAGTTGCCTTGCAACGGATTTGTAGTATCGAGCGAGTTGGCTCCTCGTGGGAGTTATCTCACAACGGGTTATAAGACGGAGCGAGTGGTCTCCTCGTGGGAGTTATCTCGCTATGGTTATGAGACCCGAGGGAGTTGGCTCCTCGTGGGAGTTATCTCACAACGGGTTATAAGACGGAGCGAGTGGTCTCCTCGTGGGAGTTATCTCGCTATGGTTTCGTAGACCCGAGGGAGTTGGCTCCTCGTGGGAGTTGCCTCGCTGCGGGTTGTAGGACGGAGCGAGTTATCTCCTCGTGGGAGTTGTCTCGCTACGGGTTGTATTTTCGAGCGAGTTGGCTCCTCGTGGGAGTTGTCTCGCTACAAGTTCGTAATACCGATGGAGTTGACTCCTCATGGGAGTTGTCTCGCAACGAATGTGTAGGGCCGAGCGAGTTTGCTCCTCGTGGGAGTTGTCTCGCGGTGGGTTCGTAGACCCGAGGGAGTTGACTCCTCGTGGGAGTTGCCTCGCAACGGGTTATATGACTGAGCAAGTTATCTCCTCGTGGGAGTTGTCTTGCTGCCGGTTGTAGTACCGAACGAGTTGGCTCCTCGTGGGAGTTGTCTCGCTGCGAATTGTGGGACAGAGCGAGTGGTCTCCTCGTGGGAGTTATCTCGCTGTGGTTATGAGACCCGAGGGAGTTGGCTCCTCGTGGGAGTTATCTCGCTGCGGGTGGTAGTACTGAGCGAGTTGGCTCCTTGTGGGAGTTGTCTCGCAAGCCCCCCACTCTCGAGACGATGTGGGAGCCAAGTCGAAAGGGGTACCAGATCGTATTGAGAGTAGATCGGTGTTGTAGTCTTGCGTTAATCGTTGGCATGGCGTGGAGAAATAATTTTTTTTTTTTCATTTGATAGCGAACGCAATTTGGTAGGTGCGTTAAAGAGCTCGCGCAATTTGGGTGGAGCGCATTGAAATTCTCGTGCGATTTGGTGAAGCGAGTCAAAATCTACGCGCAATTTAATAGAGCGTGCGATTTGGTGGAGCGCGTAAAATTCTGGGCGCGATTTGGAAGAGCGTGTCCAAATTCGTGCGTGATTAGATTGCCTTAGAAGCCGCGCGCGATTTTCATGTGAGAGGAGCCGGGCGGCTTAAAGCCGCGCGAATTGGCATGTGAGGGGAGCCGCATAAACGAGAGCCGCGCAGCTTGAAGCCGCGTGATTTGGCATGTGAGGACGAGCCATGCACGGAGCCCGAGGGTGGAGAGAGAAATGTTGCAGCAGGCTTGGGAAGTGAGTGATGTCACGCCCACGTGCTGCCCCGCCCTCCCCTATTCTCTCTCCTTTTCTTCTCTTTTTCTTTTTCTTTTTCTTTTTCCTTTTTTTTTTTTTTTTTTTTTTTTTTTATTTTGTAATTACTGCCGCGCGCGAGGACCGAGGTGGCAACTGACAGATCGTGCGGCGCCTTCCCCCGCGCGCGCTTTGCACGCGTCCAGTTCATCTCCCTTCTTTTTTTTTTTGTTTTTTTTTTGCTGGCGCGCGTGCAGTGCACGCGCGCCTCCTGTCTCTTTTTTTTTTTTTGTTTTTTTTCTTTAATGGAGCCGCGCGCGCGGCTCGACTGCATCTCCTCCCTTTTTTTTTTCTTCTTCTTCTTCTTGTTCTTGTATCTTTTCATCTTCTTTTTTCTTCTTCTTGTTCTTGCATTTTTTCATCTTCTTTCTTCTTCTCTTTTTTCATCATCTTTTTTTTTTTTGTATTTTTTCATCTTCATCTTTTTTCTTTTTCTTTTTTATTTGGTTGATATTCACCCCCTTGGGGATGTTCTATTTTTTGAATAGGGAGATTACCCTCGTTCCTTGAGATGGGATGTGCACCCCCTTGGGGATGTTCTATTTTTTGAGTAGGGAGATTATCATCGTTCCTTGAGATGGGATGTGCACCCCCTTGGGGATGTTCTATTTTTTGAGTAGGGAGATTATCATCGTTCCTTGAGATGGGATGTGCACCCCCTTGGGGATGTTCTATTTTTTGAGTAGTGAGATTATACTCGTCTCTTGAGATGTGATGTGAACCCCCTTAGGGTTGAAAGGTAAGGGTGATGCCCAACCTTAGGATGGGGATAACTGCCCACTGTAGGATGAGGCGCTCGAGACCTATGGTCTTAGGTTGATGCGCACGGTTGTGCCATTGGTTCGTGCGCGCGCGTCAGACCTTTTTTCTGTTTTTTGAAGTAGGGACGTGAAACACTTGAAAGGATGTGAAACCCCTTGGGGTTGAAAGGTCAGTGGATGTACCACCCTTGAGAGGAGATGCCCAACTTTAGGATGGGATAGCCCCCCATTTAGGATGAGGCGATCACGAACCACTGGGGTGAGATGCCCCACCTTGGCGATATATGGTGTCACTGATTCAGTGGCAGCACGAGTTGAATCTTCCGTGATCATACGCTGAAGGTCTTCTTCGGTTATCTGAACCGTTAGAGAAGTAAGTAGAAATTGATCATGTTGAGGACCCAGTGGGGCCTCACGAGGAGAAGCGTTGGCTCCTGCTATGACGAATGAAATGTTTTGGGGGCGATGTGACCCTCAGGGAGTCGATAACCCTTGGCGAACGAAATATTTTGGGAGCAGATGTAAGCCCCCAGGAGTCGATAACCCTTGGCGAACGAAATATTTTGGGGGCGATGTAAGCCCCCAGGGAGTCGATAACCCTTGGCGAGCGAAATATTTTGGGGGCAGTGTAAGCCCCCAGGGACTCGATAACCCTTGGCGAGCGAAATATTTTGGGGGCAGATGTAAGCCCCCAGGGAGTCGATAACCCTTGGCGAACGAAATATTTTGGGGGCGATGTAAGCCCGCAGGGAGTCGATAACCCTTGGCGAGCGAAATATTTTGGGGGCATATGTAAGCCCCCAGGGAGTCGACGGCGGTGGTGCCATAGGTGGCTCCACATGTGGAGCAGGTGCTGGTATCGCGTTGGGAGCATTTGCTCCCATCGTGGCGATATATTGGGTCACGGCCTCTATGGCAGCGCGAGTTGAAGCTTTTGCTATCATGCGTTGAAGCGCATCCTCGGTTATTTGAACCATTCGAGGAGCAGGGAGCGGTGGATCGGCGAGTGGTGGGTCCCGAGGGGATCACCTGAACCTCGCGAGGCTGATCCATGGGATGTGGAGGAGGTGGCAAGCCAGAGCCTCAACGAGGTGGGAGGTCGTTAGCTGTGTCATTTTCTCTCCGAGCAGACGCCTCAGGAGGATCTTGTTGGCTACGTGATTTGGTTTGCATCGTTCCCACAGACGGCGCCAAAATGATGATGCTAAAATGTAGATCATCTGGGGTGGTGTAGAAAATGAACTGGGAGAGCAAAGCAGATCAGTAGCTTGACAACTTGATGATCCTGAGATACCTGCGAAATGAACACACGTGAACTACGCCGGGGGTTGATCCGGCGGAAACCCCTCCGACGCTCAAGTCAGACGTGCTGATCATAGAAATGGTCCAGAGAATACATATTGTAGTATTGCTCAGTTAATAGGACGTACCTTAAGGAATGAGTTCAAACCTTTATTTATAGCTTAGTTGAGATTGTCGGGCCCGAACCTTACTTGAAGGTGATTGGGCCTCGGTGATAATGGTCTTCGAT